TAGGTGGTCAACAGCCACAGATACTTTAAGAATGTGACTAAAATCAGAACAGATGTTGATGGGATGTACATTATATAATCACGTACAAAGGATATAATGTCTGTTAATTTTGGGTTACCTGGGGAATTAACTGACGTTCAGGTGTCATCCAGAGAACGGAATATCAAACAAGCATTCAACCTGTGTTCTTGTTCCCTTGTGTTGCCAGCTTCACGTGTGCAGTACTGTGGCTTCTGAACCTAAAGGAAACTAATGCTGGATCTAAGACAGGCTATTAGTTTCTTTTCTGACCTGAAACATATCCACAGACTGAACTTTGCATTTTAAAAATACAGTCTGTCTACAGCAAAAACATTTTGTTATCTAGTGTGATTTAGATGGTATAGATCTCTTCACTGCAATTCCTATCTGTAGCTCACTGTAGTCCAGTGAAGTCAATAAGTGCTTTGCTATTGATTTCAGTGGGAGCAGGGTCAAGCTGTAGTCTGGTAATTGTTAACTTAGTTTTATGTAGACTTTGAGCTTGTAGTTTAAAGGAATGAATTTACAGTAACTTTTTTGTGTATTTTTGTCATAGAAAAATCACAATGTTTTCTGCACGGTCAGATAGTTGTGTATATACTTTTTAAACCATTCCATTGAGTTAGTCTTTGTTATTTTCAAAAACTCAGTACACTGATAAATGTTGTTTGGTAGTAAACTTTTGAGTCCTTAAATATTTAGGTATGTGACTAAAATATCTAGGAAATACTCTAGATTTATTCAATTACTTGATGAATATGGGGTGAGCAAGGAGGAGAATGGGCACTGATAGTGTAGAGGCAAAATTTTAGAAACATTTTCTTTTGACAGAAGAAAGTGAATTTTGGTCATGGAGGGTCATTTGTGTATTAAATTTAAAAAATGAACCTTATTTAAAACTTATGTGCCAAGGGTGTTCCTTACTGGTTGGTACTGATGTATAGCATCTACTTGTGATCATTTTATTTCTCCTTTGCGTCCAAAGCGTACCACAGTCTGACTGACAAGGATTCACATTTACTTGACATGTATATGTTTAAATCTGCAAGACTAAAAACAAAACAGACAATTGAGCTAAGAATAGTTAAATAGTGCACAGATTGCACTAGCAGTTTAGTTCCTAATTGGCAACCATATTAATAATTACCTTTTGTGGAGAGAAAAATAACTTTTGTACGAATTGGAATAGGCATGGTAATTTGTTAGCTCTACAAGCAGTATTACAACCAGGCAGTGATTTGTCAAGTCATTACCTGATGAATGATTACTGTATTTAACCAAAATAGCAATTAAAATTGGGGGAGAGACAATTGGGGGAATTCCTTTCCAGAGGAGGAATACAAAAGTTAAGATTTGAAGAAGTGAAAATTTAGAAAATTGCAATTACTGTATTATTAGTATATCCTTCTTTGAGATTTACATTTTTGTGTATGCTTTGTATGAATTCTAAATTTCACTATATTATTGCTTGCATTGAGATCTCTGGGAGGCAAGCAGGAATGACTCTGCTTTTCCATCATTAAATGACATATTATGTATGGTGAACATCAGACCACTCAAGATATGCCTTGATTTATTGACCTAGTGGGGAGTAGGAGGTACTTAGAACATGTATGCCCTTCATCAATCTGAATGCTAGATCCCACTTACAAGTAACAGCAAGTCCCAAATTCTTCAAACTCAAGACACCATGTTAGTGCCATTTCCCCCCATCTCATTCATTTCTTTTTGGGAGTTGGAGTTCTAGGGTTGTATCACTGCAATGGTCATTGGCCTACATGAACTGTTTGGGGGAAGGGGGAATCAAGCACCCTTTAACTGTATGTAACTTATTTCTTGCAGAAAGTGTACTTTATGCAAGTTTAGATCTATTGATTATGTACTGAATCCTGGGGGGTAGCCTCTTTAATTGTTTTAAAGGTTAAATTGTTGTTCTTGTGCTGTATTTTCCTCTAATTGTTTTCTCAAAAGCTTTTCAGTGTAATAAAATAAATGACTAGGATAAATGAAATACATAATTATGTACAATTTTCTTTTTAATGTTGAAACTAGACAGCTTGGTGTGGGCATGGTTTTATCCCTGTGATCAAATAATGACAAAGATAATTGCAAGATTTCATTAATTTTATGTAGTTCCTGTATTGCACTTAGTAAAGATTCCCTTTCATAAATTGAATGTTTGTTTCTAAAATACAGATTATGTAAATCCTGACAAATCTATTTGGAGAAATGCTGTTTCTTCAAATCTAACAAAGTACAAGACAACTTCCTTTGTAGCACATCAGCACCACCTTTTCTTTTTTAAACTGACTAGGAATTGATTTTGAGTGACAGAGGCAGCATCTCCTCTATGAATCACCTCTCACTTGCTGATCCCTAGGAGTAGGACATTAGGAATGAGACTTTGAACTTGTTCTTTCATCTGGTAGTGCACTATGTTCCAGGGATGTAGCCTGGAATACTTTTTTTCTTTTCTTTTCCGAGTTAGGGCAGAATTTGGCTAAAAAAATCTATTTCTAGCACCTCAAAAGCTTAGAAACACTTGCTTATGATTAAATTTTACTGGTCACTTAACTGTTCCCCTATTATTAGCTGCCTAATTTAGCAAAGCTTAAAGTTTTTTCACTAATAGACTGTGAAAGGGAGAATCTTAATTCAGCCTTACTTCTGGAAAATACAACAAAAATGTGTGACTTAGTCATTTTAGGTCACTAGGCAAAATGTGTAATTTTTTAAATCCTGTATGGTTTTATTTAATCCTCCCTTGTTGGCTTTCTTTTGTTGGTAAAATGTTTAGCTAGAGCTGTAATGTATGAAGCAAATACAAAACAAAGCATTTGTTTTAACAAAATATTTATAGTGCTGAATGCACCCTATTAATTGAATGTGTTAAAATAAAATTAGTTTTTTGAGTCTCTAGTGGTCGGTTATTGGTTTCTAGCCAGACCTTTCCCAAACAAGTTGTCATAAATATTAGTCAGCATGCTAGAATACTAACTAGAGGAGTGGTTCTCAAACTTTTGTATTGGTGTCCCCTTTCACACAGCAAGCCTCTGAGTGCAAACCCCCCTTATAAATTAAAAAAAAGTTTTTATCTATTTAACACCATTATAAATGCTGGATGAAATGTGCGGTTTGGGGTAGAGGCTGACAGCTTGCGACCCCCCCCCCATGTAATAACCTCACAATCCCCTGAGGGGGCCCTGGTCCCCAGTTTGAGAACCCCTGAAGTATGAGCTTGAGAACTCATGGGACAAATTTTTTGCCACAAGCCTAACCCATACTTCTGAACTAGTAATTTGCTAGCTCTTCATGTCCTGTACACTTCTTCTGCCTGACTGCTACACCCTCCTGCAACTCCTATCTAGTCACTGCTAACCTCTTCTCCTTCCAGCAGTGCTACCTGGTCTGCCAAATTGTCAGTGGCACTGTAGACCAAGAGTATTGATGTGTGAGCGCAGAATAGAACTCAGGTTATGTGTAGGGTTATTTCTAAATTTAATGCTAAAGGCAGGGGAATAACCAGCTCCCCAAGGGAGTCTAACTATTGTGCCAGGCTTAGAGGAGTGGAGAAGATGCTGTAAGGTGCAGATTACTGTACCTAGGCTACGTGCACCATAAGGGGACATCTGCCCTAGATATGCAGAACCCCACTCAGTTCCCCCGGGTGTTCTAGTGCAGTGAGGAGACACTAGCGAGATCCTGGCACTACCTGCAGGATCGGAGGCTCGCTGTGGGGGGTTTCTGCTGGCTGTGCAGATGTACTGCAAGTCAATGCTCTTGCTATAACGTGGACACTTGGATAATATGAATTGGGCCAAAAAAAATCTGATGAAGTTCAACAAGGACAAGTGCAGAGTCCTGCACTTACCATGAAAGAATCCCATGCACCACGACAGACTAGGGACCAACTGGCTAAGTAGCAGTTCTGCAGAAAAGGACCTGGGGATTACAGTGGATGAGAAGCTAGATATGAGTCAGCAGTGTCCCCTTATTGCCAAGAAGGCTAATAGCATATTGGGCTGCATTAGTAGGAGCATTGCCTTGATCTGTTGGCAAGTGGTTATTCCCCTCTATTTGGCACTGGTGAGGCCATATCTGGATTATTGTATCCAGTTTTAGGCCCCTGCTACAGAAAGGATGTGGACAAATTGGAGAGAGTCCAGTGGAGGGCGATGAAAAAGATCGGGGACTGGGGCACATGACTTACAAGGAGAGGCTGAGGGAACTGGACTTGTTTAGTCTGCAGAAGAGTGAGGGGCGATTTGATAGCAGCCTTCAACTACTTAAAGGGTGTTCCAAAGAGGATGGAGCTAGGCTGTTTTCAGTGGTACCACATGACAGACTAAGGAGCAATAGTCTCAAATTGTAGTGGGGGAGGTCTAGGTTGGATATTAGAAAAAACTAGCGCAGGAGGAGGGTGATGAGACACTGGAATGGATTACTTAGAGAGGTGGTGGACTCCCTATCCTCAGAGGTTGTTAAGGTCAGGCTTGACAAAGCCCTGGCTGGGATGATTTAGTCGGAGATCAGTCCTGCTTTGAGCAGGGGGTTGGACTAGATGACCTCCTGAGGTCCCTTCCAACCCTTATATTCTATGATTCTGTGACAGCTGTTGACTGGGCTGAGCGGCCGTAGTCGACCCTGCAGGGGCCTAGTCCCCAGCCGTCAGGAACCACCTGTTGGACTCCAAAAATCCGGCGAGCGGCTGTGCAAACCGGAGCCACAGGCGCTGGCTGGTCGCGGCTCCCCTGCTCGGGCTTTTCCCAGCAGCTGGGGGCGCCAGAACCGTGCTGAAGGAGGCTGAGACGCTCTGTGCCAACAGGAGTCCCCCCGTGGGGGTTAAGGCCCCCGCACGGCCTCAGGCTCCGTGAAGACGGACCCGCCATGACACCGAGTAGTCGGCAGAGGCGGGGCCGTGCCCCGGGTGTCCCCTCCTCGCCGGCCCCGGCCGCGGAGGCGGCTGTGCCCCGCCGGAGCTCTTTTCCCGGCGGCCCGGGCCGGAAGGGCAGGGCGGGCGGACGGGGTGCTGCGCACACTGCGGCACGCGGGGGAAGATGGTGGCCACGCGGCGAGCAGCGCGGCGCGGGCTCGAGGCCGCTGCCCCGGCTGCGGCAGAGGTAGGAAGGAAGCGGGAGGCGCCCGCAAGCCCCTGCCAGGGCCTGGCTGGTCTGCGCGCTCCGCGGGCCGGGCGTGTGCGCTGCCCAGGGCTCGGCCCAGCGTGTGGGGCCCCCGGCACGGGGCTAGGCTGCTGAGCGGCTCCCCTCGCCCTGCAGCGCGGGGCCTGCTCTGCCCAAGGGGGTTGCAGCCCAGCCCCGGGTGAGCGGCCTGGAGCCCCCGGGGGCCTCTGGCGAGGTGCGAGCTGTGCCACAGGGCCGGGTAGTGGTGCTAGGCCTGGCCGCCGACTCCGCTCTCCCGGCGGGTGACCCCAGCCCAGATACCCCGGTGATGGGCCTGCTAGAAATGATTGACCGGGGCCTGGGTGGTCCCGGTGGGTGGCAGCCGCCCGGGCTGTTAGTCCCCGCCCCCCGTCCCGGCTCTTGGTTCTCCTGCAGGTGACGGTGCTGGCGGGTCCTTGCTCGCCTGCGTTGCTGAGGCGGGCTGGTCCCCTTCTCCAGCGGTTCGATTGCCTGCCGCCATGAGCTTGAAAGTGAAGTATGCAGCCAATGAAGTGAGCTGTAGCTCACGAAAGCTTATGCTCAAATAAATTGGTTAGTCTCTAAGGTGCCACAAGTACTCCTTTTCTTTCTGCGAATACAGACTAACACGGCTGCTACTCTGAAACCTGTGTATTAGTTGTAGCTCTAAACTATGGCAGGGAACAGTTGAAAGGCTCCCTAAACAAGAGAGGTTTCAGAGTAGCAGCCGTGTTAGTCTGTATTCACAAAAAGAACAGGAGTACTTGTGGCACCTTAGAGACTAACCAATTTATTTGAGCATAAGCTTTTGTGAGCTACAGCTTATGCTCAGATAAATTTGTTAGTCTCTCAGGTGCCACAAGTACTCCTTTCCTTTTTGCTAAACGTGAGAGAGATTTAATAATTGGACACACTTCTACATTTCTTTTATCTTTTTTTTCTATAATGGCTTTCTCGCTCTTTGGCTATTTAACTGATTGGGGGGCTTTTGGGATACACTCTGTATGACAGATGCTGTTCAGAATAAAATGGCAGTGTATTGACAAATAGGAATCGCAGCGTGGGGGATTCTGTTAGATTCATTACCAGTTTTTACATAGCAGCAGTCGCTTGTGGTGCCTTTCATCATCCAGTGCTAGCCAGGAAGTTTTGAGTATTTTGATGCGATACAGACTTTGCAATGGTTATCCATGCTTTGGCACTGCAAGGCTAGACTGCTGAAGCATTGTTGCATAGATACCATTGTGTTAGGAGGGTTTAGGACTACTCTAGATAGTATAGCCTCCTTAACATAGTATATTCTGTCTGCCAGAAGGTTCCTGCTATTGCAGAATGCATTTGCCTGCCGTGGAACAAGCTTCAATGAATACATAACATTTGAACCCAAGTCTTTGTACTGACTTTTATTTATTAATACCCCAGTTCAAGGTGTTGGTAATCTTCATAGCCATGAATGGTCTGGGTCAAAGCTCTTTGAAAGGCTGACTCTGTACCTTATTGTGGGAATTACAATCCCCTCTGATGCTCCTGCTATCAGTTCCTAGGCTTAAACAGTTAGCAGCTAGGGATGGGTGTCTGAGTTAAGGAATTCCATGTTTGGAATCGGCTTCTTATGGCAGCCTGCCAAACCCAGATTGAACTAGATTCAGAGCATTTTGTTTAGTTGATGTATTTTTGGGGTGTGTTTTGCTTATTCTTGCACAGAAGATAGCTTGATTCTTGGGTCTGATAGAATTCCAGTTGGTGTGGGATCTGGTGTCCTAACAGTGATTTATACCACCCTTGTGGTTCTAGAGGACAGTCCATAGGGCTGTTCTCGCAGCTGGAGATTGCTGGACCTCAGGCCATTCTCAGCTGTCCAGTTACATAAATCTGTCAGAGTTAATTGTGACTTATTTAATAAAGGACTGTGTGGAGGTATAAAGCAGAAAAAACAACAACAGGAAAATGAATTGCTGGACATAAAAGCATATCTATGAGGCCTCCAACAGCACACATCTCAGGAAGTAGGATTCTGCCAGGAGGAAGCAATGTGGGCAAAGTGATGCTAGTTTGCAAAAGGAATAAGTGGGCAAATGAGTGATGAATAATGGAGCTTCTTCACCTGCAGGTTGTGGTACTAAACATTGCATAATGCAAAATGTATGTCATCACATTAACTTTCTCTAGACAGTTATTTTAAAAGTCAAAATGCTTGTGAATTTGAGGCCAGAATTACTCATATGACTCCTTTAAAAGTGTATTTTTCTGTGGAAATGTCTTGTTTGTTGTTAATCTTTTTATTTCTGTAGCTGGCATCTGCTGAAGTTAGTACTCCTGTTTCTGCAAAGATGTCCAGGAGAAGAACTAAAGGAAACTCTCAGCCAGAAATCATTCATGAATCTCAGGATGAGGGATTGGAAGATGCTGAAACAAAATCAGACCTGGGTGATCCCTCTGAGGCACAAACAACTAAGAATAGAGACAAAAATGTGAATTCAGCAAAATCATGTGTTGAGCCACAGGCTGATGGAGATGAAGCAGAATCAAATTACTCTGCCGTGTCCGAACTTGAGACACCTTTATTCATAAGGATAACAAGGAGAAGACAAATCACAATTCCTTATCAACCAGATTCACCAGCCAAAAATAGGCCTAGCAAGGCAGCTCTTCTAAGTGAATTAAGTAAATCTCAAGATGAAGATGTGTCTGAAGCTGAGTCATGTTCTTCAACTGTATCTGGCGTCTGTACAACTAGTGCTACAAGAACTACGAGAAGCAGGAAATGCAAAGCTAAACTCCACCCAGATCCAGTTTCTGAAGCCCAAGCTGAAGAGGTTTCTGATGCAGAGTCATGGTGCTCGGGTCTTTGTGTGGAGCCAACTGTAACTACCAAAAGAATAACTAGGAGTATGCTAATGAAAGCGCAAGCAGAAACCATTAGACAAACAGAGAAAAAAGTTAGTGAAGTTGGGCTGGAAGATGAGACGTTAACTGAGGACAGAATTAAATCCCAACCAGTAGACATATCTGACTGTGAACGTATCACAAAATCTGATCCTGATACAGAGCAAGCTTCCTCTCTTTCATCTAATAGATACATCACTCAGAGTAATAAACAACCCAGCCCCTGCAAGACCCAATGCCAGACTGAATCTGCCAATACAAACCCAAGTGATGACCCAAAACAAGTTTTAATTGATTCAACACCCAGCAGTCCTAAAGAAACAGGAAAAAGATGTACCATAGAATCTCCTAAAAAAGAAACAATAAAGGAGATTGAAATTGTAGATAACTCAGAGGAAATGTTAGAAAAGGAGAGAGACATAACTGGAAAAGAATCACAGTTGAAAAGTGCTTCCCTTTTTCTATCTGACCATGAGAGCCTTGATGAGTCCTTTAAGTCCCAAAGGCAGACAACCCCAAGTAAAAGCAAAATAATTCCAGAACAGCAAAAAGCAGATATTGGGGAGGCTACACAGAGATCTTTCACCCATGCAGATGAATTAATGGTAGCAGACAAGCCAACTAGCACAACAAGCAGCCCACAAAAGGGCATATACCTATCACCAGTTGGTGGTGACAGTGATGGTGACTGCAAAATGTCTATCAATGTAGACAATGGTGAAAGTCAAGCAGAACTAGTTACTAAATCCTCCCCACATGTAACCAAAAGATCATGTGATAAAAAGGAATCTGCTGTGTTGCTCCTGAGCAATGATGAGAGTGATGAAAAGGAAAACAGTGATGTGGAAGAAGTGAGTGATGTAGGAGAAAATCTGTATTGTAAAGAGACCAGAAATCAGAAGTCATCCTTGAACAAATCTTTAGAAAATGACTCATCACATGGAGAACTGTTTGTAATTGACACAGAACCTGGTTTGGACGGCAACAAAAAGTATTACCTAGAACAGGAAGATAGAAGGAGCGATGCAGAAAGCAAGGATGAAGATAGAAGGAGCGATGCAGAAAGCAAGGGTGAAGATAGAAGGAGCGATGCAGAAAGCAAGGGTGAAGAAAGTGAAAGAGATGAGTCTTCAGATCTGGAAGATGAGGAGGAGTTCATAGATGAGGATGAACATGCATATTTATTGAAAAAGAAAAAGCCTAATATGTAAGTGTTTTTTACAGATAACTTAAGCAGCCACATACAATTCTAACAGGCATATTGTTAGTATACTAATGAGAGAGTTCTTGTGATATAATCAATGTGTGAAACTGGAGTTGCTTGAACTCCAAAGTGAAATTATAGCTCCACAGTTCAACAAGTCTTTCTGTTATGTATACATCCAGACACAGGTCTGTGACATGCAGAGGTTCCACCAGTGTGGCTGTCCTTTAAGGACCCATTAGTGGTGTTTCCCTCAATCCAGCTGATACCAGTTGTTTTTTTTAAATCTTTTTATCACCACCTGAGGCTCTTTCTTTCCAGCTGTAGTGGTACCTTTCCTCACCACAGGAGTGGCTCTCCCCACCCTCTCCAATATCTATTTTTGTTGGCTGAATCTCATAAAAATTCATAGTTTCAGCATTGCTATGAATTACAGAGCTCTTTAGATGGAGTGCAGTGTTCTTAGTACTGAAAACACTGTCATTTAATCATCTTAAGTAGTTTTTGAAATAAAGTGTACAAAACTGGGAAGTTGAAAAAACAAACGTCATTCCTTGTTTTTTCTTTAAGGTAGGTAAATAAAGACAAAGGTTTTTAAAACTTAAATGAAAGGGAAGTACAGGAATGCATGGCACTGTCCAAGCTAATAATGGGTATTTGTGAACCCTGCCTATTTCAGTTCATTTTATGAAATAGTTCGCTATCTTGCTAAGGTAGCCACACGTGCAAACAGATCACAGCCTTTTATCATTCCAAGCATTTGTAAAAATTGCTTTAAAATAAAGCTTCTTAAGCACCAGACCTGAGCCTAGAACTCAGGTGGTTCCATATCAAAGCCTAACTAATTTGCCATTGAACCTTTCTGTTCCTTGGTTCCCACATATTAAAAAACCCTGCTTTGCATAGACAATGCTTTCATTTGTAGATCACAAATACTTTCCCAAAGGTACACTTACCCTAAGTAGAAAGATTTAACTGTCCCTGAGTTCGATATTAATAAATATAATGAGACTTTTAAAGCCACTTGACTAAATTTAGGGTGTTTTGTTTATTTAAGCACCCAAAATTTCACAAAACCCAGTAGTAAAACACTTTTTAAAATATTTTATAATTCAAGTGAAAATGTTTGTTTGGTTTACACATCCCCCTGCAGCATTTGCAACCCAAACTTTGCATATTTAGGCTAGGCTGAAACTGACTAGCCTGGGTTTGTTGTGTTAATTGCATACACAGTTCATTGTTTTCTTAACAACATTTTATAGCTTTCATTAAAGCTTTTCAACAGAAAACATGCCTCTCAAATTGACCATCAAACATATTTTATGAATGTTAATTGAATTGCCAGAATGCAGTAATGGGACAAATGGTGCAATGTGTATTACATTTTCAAAATTTAGTTTCTAATAATACAAAGTATTATTAGGAATACAGGCAAGGGCATTAGAAATCTCAGTGTATGTCTGATGGTAGCAAACACACAGGCACTAGTGTTCAAGAATCTAATATGTTTCTACCTCCATCTTGTTCTTCTGCTTTTACTAGTTCTTGTTGCTTCTTGCTCTTCTGTTTGGATTCCTTGTTAACAAATTACAAAATGTATAAAAGATAGGCAGTGACCTTGAATTTTTCATTTTGAAAGTCAAAACACATTGAAAAGGAATATTTTGATAACATAGATAGGAATGTCCAAGATAGGGATGTACCCACCAAGTCAGGGAAGGCTTTGAGGAAGTGATTCCCCTGTAGTTCTCTCCAACAAAATTTTATTGATAAATGTTATGCTTTATACCAAGTGGAAGTACAGTATGATTTGCTATACCTATCCACTTCCATTTTTAGTTGTGTAATCTCATTTCTTTGGAGCATTGCAATCTAGAAACCCCCTTATAACAGCTATTTGATATGCACCAGGAGTACAGAGAAGAAGGATTTTCTCTCAATCCTGTCTTTCTTCAGAGGGTACGCTGGAAGATCACTATAAATATTACATCACTATATTAAAGATCACTATAAATATTGTTAATATTACTGTAATGATTAACGAGCCATTTCTCTTTCAGTTTACATCTATCAAGCAGCATAGATCCTGGTCTAAATATCAAGAGTCTTGGAGGCTTATATATTAGCTTTGATGCAGGAAAACAAAAAGCTGGCTCAAGTGCAATAAAACAATTAAAGGGTGAAAAGAAAGAAGAGGTAACGTGAATCTAAGATTATAATTTTACACAGATGTCTGGGATTCAAAGATGCTAAAATTAATCCAATTGTGACATTTATTTAAAAAGAAAAGCCTTGCTAGTAGAGTTTGGAGGAAAGAGAAATTCTTCATGGCCAAAGCATTTATTTAAATTTGTTTTTATGATAGAAATTAAATTTATATGGCATGTAAGAGTCTATATAGAGCCCTCAGTGCATTGTAAATACTGCGGATTATCCTACAGAATAGGAGGAAGTCCAGTCCACTCAAATACATGCCAGGTATTTATCTAGAGATTATATTTCATTAATTGAGTTTCTGCTACACTGCATCATTGCAGTTCTAGATAATAATTCTGATGCTGTCAGTTGTAAATGAGAGAGTCTGATTCAGTTACACCCTCAGCAGGGACTAAAACTTGGTGCAAAACAGCACAGCAAAATTAGGTCTGCTCATAATGCTTAATATGAGAACTGCTGAGTTGAAGGGACTTTGACCCCTCCATAGCTGTTTGGGATGGGGTTTTAGGCTGACTGTCAGTGGGATGACAGGCATGCATTGCTTTCCAGCAAAGTTATTTTCTTAGACAATCCCATCCCCAATGGGCTCATTTACTCTGCCAGAAGGGTCTGCTAGCTCACTTCTTCCAGCGCCAGCCTTCTGCACTTTGTAGCTGGCCAGCCCTGTGCTCTCTTTGGTATTAAGAACTCCCATTTCCTCCATCATAGGGCAGGGAAGCTTGTCTCACTTAGCAACCATTTTATTGAGATGATGCTTGCTTATGATTCCCTATCATTTCTCTGCTATCTTATTTGTGTAACCAAATGTGTAATACAATTCAGATCAGTCTCATCAGCAGCATGATTTAAACAGTAACTTAATGATCTCATCTAGCTCTTGCAGAAGAGTATAATAACTCCAGATTTTGAAAAAAAGGACTGTGTTCCACCATTCAGGGAGTCAATCCATCAGATAAAGAAACAGCGCAAGGTAAGTGGATAGCCTCTGACTGTTGCAGAATGGTAACATCTGGCATACTAAACCAGAATTAGTCTGCTTTTAATCTCTGTTATATGAAAATGTAGAGGTGACATATATGCATAACCCTCTTAAGTATATTGATTTATGAACTACAAATTCATATCAGCATTGAACAGTAATGTGAGATTCAGCCTTCTGGAAATGTTGAGACTGTAGTACAAAGACTGAAAGGGCAAATTCTGATCCCAGTGCTTGGCCTGAGGAGAATCCTTGTTCCAGTTGCAGAGTTGATTAAATTGGCATGTTTTGAAAAGGTCTCGGGCTTCCTTGACATCTTCTTTCCCTATATTTTTATAAGAATATCTTTGCTTACCTGGTGACGTCTACATAGTTTGTTGTTTTGTTCTTTACAATGTTTGGGAAACATAGATCAGGTCCTTGGGAGGCACCAGTTGCTAAGGTTGGTTAATGCTGATCTGTAAAATCAGACTGTAAAGTTCTCTGAAATATAGTCTTATTTTAAACGTAGCAACCCTTTGCTTTTTCCTTCCTCTTCACCACAAAAGCTCTTCAGTGCAGTTTTATTGTTCTTTATATTGTGTCATAGGCAGAGCGAGAGAAAACAACAGGTGATGGCTGGTTTGGTATGAAAGCTCCAGAAATGACAAATGAATTGAAAAATGATCTAAAGGCTCTGAAGATGAGGGCTTCCATGGACCCCAAACATTTTTACAAGAAGAATGATAGAGATGGTCTGCCCAAATACTTTCAGGTGAGGAACCAGGAAAAATAAAGAGATCCTGTTACTACTTTTATAGTCCAGAACAGTTATGCTTATTTCCTATCTAGTTATTTTTAGACATCCATTTGTCCAAACTCACTTTTACAATTAGATGCACATACTATGAAATTATGTTATTTTCCATTTACTTACAATTTTTGACCTTGATTACAGTCTACAAGTGGGATTTTGTTGCAACCAACTATTTAGCCTTATCTATGTCCTTCTGTATATGCCCGTGTTCTGTATTGTTTTTTTGCTTGCTGACTTGGAACTGATTTCACAGGATGGAAATACATCCCTTTGTTTTCAAAATCTGTTTTCACGCCACACAATGGTAATAAATTTGTATCTAACCTTTCAGATTTTGCAGGTCTTCTCCAGTATATTAGTGTTTTTTTTTTACAAGTCTATAATAATAATTAATAATTAATCCTCTTATTAGTCAAGATTCTCTTCTGTAGACTGGCTCCATTGATCCACTGAAATTCCTGTTACTGTAGCTATTGCAGCTTAATGTATTTTGTGGTATGACAGTAATTGGAAACTGGTGGAACTTGCAGGAAATCTGGAGTTGTTTTTTATGTTTTTAGTTAGGTTCTTAGTCCTTCTTTGCCTCTAGCTATTTGGCATATTCAGCACACATTTACAAATATTCATTTTTCTCAAAATATTGGTGGCTTGCTTTCAAGGCTGAGCATTGTTATATGCTATTGTAAGTTTCCTGTCATGATAGTATCTGGATGCATTCTATTTAATTAAGATCAAGATACACATTTTACCACACTAGGAAATACATGCTCCATGGGCCTCCCTTGTCCCCATGGTGACCAAACCAACTGCTGTGAAAGATCAGAACTCAGAGAAGTGTCAGCCATGAATCAATGGGAGTTGAAGTGGGCTCAACATTTTCCATGGTAGGGCCCTTAAATCCTGTACTGGGTTAAAAGGTAATAGTAATTGCTGAGCAAAAACTTTGTAGTGATAAAGGACAAGACCTGTGAAAGATTTAATTGCCCCTCCCTCAGGTAACCAAAAATATAATCCTATATAAATTTCGAGAGCTAGGTTGTGATTATCATGGTGTACCAGTTCCTATGTTCACAACTGCACTGTTTTCACATGCTATTCTTTGGATTAAACATGAGAGGAAAATGGTGATAATGCATACAAAACGCTGCTTGTTTCTTTTGGCACTTTGCGTTACAGCTTTTCATGATTCCTCCCATTTTTCTCTTCAAACACCTGGGATTTGTCATTAAAAACAAACAAAAACCTTGATACTATGTTGCAGGAAGGCTCATTTTAAATTTTCTTTTCCGAGGTTGGAACTGTGGTTGACACTCCAATAGACTTTTACCATGCTCGAATCCCCAAGAAACAAAGGAAGAGAACCATTGTTGAAGAGCTGCTTGCAGATTCTGAGTTTAGGAGGTATTTAAAAATAAGCTTCTTTATAACTGTAATATTAGCAGTATGATCCAGGAATGTATTGCAATTTTGATTAGAGTAACTTATTTTTTCCTTTCAGTTAACTTGGGGGTTTTTTTTAAATTTTTTTATTAAATGTAAGAAGTAATTCATTAGAGCCAGCTTAGTGCCACCACAAGACACTTCCATTCCAGAGATCAGAGTAGCAGGAGTTGATCAATTCATGCTTTACTGAATTAGATAAGTATATTGGAAGCAGTATGCACTATATAAAAATTGTCAGTTATCTAATGGACTATTGGTGGTCTCGGTTTAGTTCCATAATTGAGACAGAAGTCCATGCAAGTGGCAGTCTTACCACAGAGCCTATTGAACTGGGCCTGACCTAGCTCCTCTTTTCTGGAAGTGACTTTTGCAGAATAGGATTCAGGCATGTTGATGGGGAAATGAAAGTGAGCCTGCTCTGCTGCTACCTGGGCTGTAACTATGCATATAGATGGGATTTCAGTTTACAGGGTTGTCAGTTTGGCACCTTTGTGATGATCAAATTTATCTGAATATCTTTTTTTTAAGAATGATTTAATGAGTTAATATTTGATCATCTATAATTCTTGGGGTGGATTGGCAACCTAAACCATTTTGGATATTGGTCTGTTAACATGATACCCTGCTGCAGTTTCTCATCTTTTCATATAAATGACACATTTTTTGGTGTGTGCGCACATGCAAGAGAAACATGGTTGTGATACCGGGAGTTGATTGCAGGTCAGGATTTTAAATGTATTGGCAGCGTAGGGTATGGAAACTTCCATAGCTATTTCCTACCAGTATGATTAGCTTTAGCCAATACTCTTTCATAGGCATTGATTAATTCAAAAATATTTATTAAAAGCAATGTTTAAAGATGAATTGCTGACAAATCCTGACCATTTTAGTGTTTGTGAGTAATTAATAAAGTAACTGAATAAAGCACTTAGGTGTTACAACTGTTTGTCAAGTTTCCTGTTGGCAAGCAGCAGCCTCAGCAAGCACTAAAATGGTGGCATTGTTCACGCTGCTAATTGATGCAGGAACAGGAGAATCTACCCTGGGAAAACAGCTAAACATGTCTTCACTCCGTATGTATTGTTTAATATTAATCTTAGTCTTCTCTCAAATCTGCAGTAGAATAAGACTGACTGTTAGCCTCTCAGTGTGCTCTGATATTAACATAACATTCAACATAAACTGCTGACAACATTAATAATATTGGCATCACAGCTCTTGCTGAGCCTGGGCATCGTTAACGGATACACGGCCATTTAGCAAGCCATAAAACATGTTAGAAGTCTAATTGTGTGCATGTTGTAAAAATCCATTGCTCCAGGTAAGAGCTGCTAATGCAAAAATGCTTGGGTGTTTTTACAATTTGCATTTCACTTTAATTATTGCTTTTTTGCTCAGGGGAGCTTTCCTGTAAAAAGACTAAAATGTTTCATTTATGTTGTGTGATGCAGGAGTCCTTTTCCCCTAAGTTTGGTGGTATCATTCTACCAGCAATATTTCAAAAAGGATTGCAAATATTTGACTATCGCATCAACATTACCAGTGTCATTTCTCCTTTACTAGTGATACACTTATCAAACTAAAGAAGTTTGAAACAGAAAACACAAGACTAAACTTACTCCGGCAAAATATTTATTTTGTATCTAAGATTTTTGTAGGCTACACTCATCTTTTACTTGCTGATTTGACATATTTAATAAAAGTAAATTGACTTTTTGTTGTTGTTCAGATACAATAAAAGGAAGTACCAGGAGATCATGACTGAAAAGGCAGCTCTTGCAACAGGCAAGAAGAATCGGAAGAAGAAGAAATTTCACAAATAAGCCTGGGAGAAAATAACAAGATGAAACTTTTTTTGTTTTGTTTTTTAATTATAAAATTGTTTACAGAACATTTTGGTGATTGGTTTAAGATTGAAGATGTCGTACTGACTGAGTTAGGGCAGGGCTGGCCCTGTTTTTGCAGTAGTATTTTGACAGGGGAGAATGAGATTTGAGAAATGCAATGGGATTTTGTTCTGTGGACTGGTATAGACATGCAAGAGACAGCATCATTCATTCTTCATAGAAAAAGGAAAAACCAGAGAACCTGTACAAATAAATAGTAGATAGAAATGGTCACGTGAAAGAGCTGGGATTAAAATACAACCTTTTTTTTTTTTAATGGAAAAACCTTTATTAAAAACTGCAATCCTCGGTTTTTTAGTTTTGTGAGAAACTAGAAAACCTGCAGGCACTTGTCACTAAAGACTCATAGTTACTGACGGAGTTTATAAAAACATATGTATTCAACCTACAGTAATCAGTGACTTTTTAAAATCTCATTGAGCAACGATTCAGATTCTGAGCAATGATGCTTCAAAACCGTAAACTTACACCTGGTAAAAATAACATTCTATTATGTGTTATACAGGAAAAATAAATTGTCCACAAATGGAGATGAGTTTTAACTCTGATAAAGCCACCTGAAATCTGTCATCTTTAAGTGGATGTTCATATACTATATTGGTCTAATTTAATGTTAACTTAAAGGGTAAAAATGTAGATTTCAAGGTATAGTGCCAAACGTAAGGCATCATCACTTTTGCCTACTTCTTGGTCTCTGTAGAGTCTAGCCCCTATTTACATAATTTATGAAGCAGTTTCTGTTGAAAGGAGCTTACATTTAATCTTTCTCTTGTTACATTGCTTAATTAAGTTAGTTGTTCCTTATCCATTGCCTCAGTAAGAGTTGTTGCTGGGCTATTCTTTAGCAGCGGTTAATGAGAAATGACTTGTGCATGGATATGACTCTTGCATGCTATTTTAAAAGTAATTCTCGTTCGGCTTGATCTCTGGTGGTGGAGTTTTCCACATCTGAAGACTGAACATAGCATGGTGTAGATTATCCTCCAGATTCTACATATCTAACTTTTTTTAAATCCACTGGTTTTTTTTGTTGAGGGTTATGTATTTTTACCACTTGCCTGTTGGTTAGCCATTAATGTGAAATGACTCCCTGGGGTCAGTCAGTTTTCTAGTATACACAGACTACCACAAGTGGTATTATGGTAATTTCCAGTCTTGTTGGCAGTTTTAGTTGAGAAGCTAAGAACTGAATGGATGAGGAGAGAGAACTCTTTTCAACCCTAGTGATAGTCCCTCCAAATCAAGATTGAGGGAAACTGGTACATAGATGTGGAAAGCTTGCACTGCCCCTGCAGATTCTGTAGGTGCCATGCACTTCAGTTTCCCAGCCTGTCAGTCCATCACCTTGCATAATCACATGTATTTTCAGTAAAAGTTTAAGCTTTTGAATGACCCCTACAATATTTTTGTACTTCTGTTGCAGCTAATATAGTTCAAATTAATTACTAATGTTAGGATAGAGAATAACACAGAAAATGTAATGGTAGAACAGAAGTTGATGGTAGGAAATTACTGGTACTTCATTCAACAATAGTGGGATTGTGTGGGGTGGACTGTCCAGGAGAGGAAAGGGAAAGAAAAACTGAGAAAAGATGATAAAAGTAAAATGTGTAGAGATGGCCTTCATGGTCCTATTTTATAGCTTCTGACAAAAGGAAATATGACTTAAATAGTGTAGTAAAAAAATTAAGAGACTGGACATTTGTGTCTGAAAATGTCCTCAGCTCTGAGCAACCAAGATAGCCTTAGAAGAGCTTCCAACCCCCATGGCTCAAGCCATACACTGATCACCAACTGAAGTTAGGAAGAAATTTTCCCATGTCTCTCTCTTGCATTTATGTTTTTTCTAAAGCAACCCAGCATTAGTCACTATTGGAGACAGGCTAGGACCAAGTTTTCGCATTTTGAAACTGCTAAGTTAAAGTGTCAGGTTCAGGACATACAAATACAGATACCCATCACTCCTGTAAATCTTGGCTGAGATGTAGTTCTGTTCTACTATCGTCATTCCTGTATTTGTATCTCAGACCTGTGCATACATCATTGACGATAATGCAAGAACAAGGAAATACAACCAGAACTGTGCTCTCTTGTGCTCTGTAAGATATGTGGAGGCAGAAGAATATCAATATTGGACAAACAGGAAAGAACAAAATTGGAATAAGAAAAGTTTTGAAGTGTTTAAGAGTATTATGAACAATGGTCATATGAACTTGTATAAAATTATACAGAATTTTTGTAGCTATTTTTAAAATTATTTTAATTAGAATATATTTTCTGTGCAAAGAGTTTTTGTGACATTTTAAAATAAGAGGAAGATGTGGTATCTTAAATTAAAAGCTAACTTATTGACTATGCTAACATTATTATCAAGGCATAATATCATGCCTGCACTATTTATACAAGACTGATATAAAAGGTAAGATACTAAGAAAGTGTTAAAAACTGTTTAAATTTAGAATTAGAACATGAGCACATTGCTGCATTCTTGAGTTCTAATTAAAGAATACATTAGCTCTATTACATATTGTGCCAAATGGAAGCCTATCAGGAGGCCAAATCACTGATAAGCAACACAGATAAAACAAGCCTATAGAAAATAGATTTATAAAAGAACTGTGTTTTGAGAAACTTAATTTTTGTGTGTGTAAACAGTATGTAATATACTGGTTTCTTTGTTGTTCTGTACTGGAGTGACCTGCTCAGATATTTCAGTTTGTAATCATACTGCTTTCTATAGGCTGGCCTGAAAACATAAGCTCTACTATTGCCAAGAGAGATTCCTCTTTAGTTCAAGGGGTAGAAACCTGTGATTTTTGGTGCAGCAGGTGATGTGGTTGTTTTCTATATACAGTATGCACTTGCTGATGGCCTAGGTGTCCCTAGACTGTTGCATGTTCTCTGAATATTAGGAGTAGATTTGTTTTCTTGTACTCCTTGCCAGTCTATATCCATCTTTTGTCTCTTGTCTTAAGCTCTCTGGGACAGGGACTGCCTTTTTGTTTTTTATTTGTACAGTGCCTAGTACAATGGGGTCCTGGTCCATGATGAGGGCTCCCAACCAGTAGTGTAATACAAATAATAAAATCTGATTATTTACGAATAGTTTCATTATATCAGCAATGGTACCATGATCAACTTGGTACTATTAATATGGTGCCATTACAATGCCTTGTAGTGAACAAAATTAAGAGGCTGCGACTTTTATGCAGCTGGTTTCTCAAACTACTTTCTTGACCTTTCCCTGACTCTCCAGTCTCTTTTTTGAGTTGCCTCTCTGACCACCAACTTGATCTTTCCAAAACGGAATGTGTCTTTTCTTCTGATTCCTCTTCCTTTCCATAAGGAACACCACTCTGTCCTTCATGTTATGTGATTCTCTTTGAACCCTGTTGCTAATATTTTACAAAGTTGTCACTTTCTCTTTAATCCACCCTGTCTCTGTTAAAAGACTTTGCCCATATGCTGTTCATAATTCTTTGATCACTATAACCTGCTCTCTGGCCTCCCTGCTTTTTATATCCTTCTGCTTTTCAGTTGATCCAAAATTCTGCACCTAATGTTGTGTTCTGCTTTCCCTCTCCAACCATGTCACTTTTCTTCTTGAATTCCTCTATTGGTTTTGTCTCTTACTGCATCATGTTAAAACTTCTTGTCACCTAAAAGACTTGGCGTTTTTGCTCTTTTCTCCACCCTCAGCTGGGTTCCTTCTATCATACTTGCTCCCTATCCCTGGAGAGCTTTCCTTATCCTTATATTCCCACACTCCCTTCAAGTAATCCTTCTTTTCTTCTCATTCAAAAACCCAACTTATTCCCTCTTGAACTCATTTACGTTGTAAGCTCTTTGGAGTAGCTTATCTAGCTTTGTAAAATACTGTGTACATTCACAACATTATTGTATAAATTATTTGTAATAGTATAAGAAAAGGTCCCAAGATAAAATTCCATAAATGATAGCACTAGAGCATGGTGAGTACAAGGATAGGGACAAGGTGGAGGAGAAACAGTAAACAATGGGAAGGAAATACATCTGTTGGGTAAGTGAAGCATTTACATAGAAAACAGATTCCATAAACTCTCTCATACTGTTTCCCTTTTTTTGGTAATGGGTAAGTGTCAGAGCTGAGATAAATGGTGGAAACAAAACCAAAATGTGAAGTCTGAGAAGAGATTTGAAGTTGCATAAGTCAGCTGGTGCACAGGAGAGTGTCAGACAAAATTAATTCAGTGCTATGAATATGGTGCCTGGATTAATGTCTCCTGCTTTGAAAGAAATGCCTGTCACCACAACATTTATGTGGTAGAGGACGATTATGCTGTGCCAGTATTTAATTGCATTTTGTTAGTAGCTGCATGGGTTTTATTGTAAGTTTGTTAGGCCCACTTCTTCACCCTTAGTGATTTTTTTTTTTTAAATCTGACAAGTGACGTGATTATAATTAAAGCAATTGGCAGGAGATGGAGCTGTAGGAGAGATTATGCAAGACAGAAAAGACTATATTAATGCACATGACTAAAAGTCAGGATTTGAAATTTTTTGCTGCTTTTTAAGTGGTGGTGTTAAAATAGGGTTTCCTCTTTCTTGTTGGGTTTAAAGATGATTGAAATGCTTTTTTAATCACTTCTGACTCATTTTTGAATGTGTATATTTTTTAGAGGAAAACAGTAACAAACATAACAGACCAAATTCAACACTAACTTCATTGCGGTGCCCTCAAGGATGAATTTGACCTACTTTTAAAGAAATTTGTTGGAAAATTATTCTCTTTCTCAAATGATCAGTGCAAAGGGGTGTTTCTTTAAAGAGAACAATAACTTGTATATTTTGCATGCACCAGGATAGATTGTACCTACAGACTAAAGACATTGCAGCTACAGGATTGTTTTTTTGAAAATTACGTGCTGTTTTGAGGAGTTGAGAGTATATTTTTACAAGTCCTTATCATTTCACCTAGTAGGAAAATGAGCTCTAAAGTTAAAGGTTGCATTTCTAGTGGTGTTGGTGGAGGAAAGATGATCAGTGTTTTTTTTTTTTCTATGAACTAGACACACAAATCTGTGATCCTTTTAAAAAGTGTAGAATAAAAAGATAATTTGAGTTCATGGATAAGGAATTGGGAGCAGGGGCTGTTTGAAAAAAGCTGTAACGCAACCTCTGGCTGGAAGTTGAAGCTAAAGAAATACAGGCTGGACCTCAGGCATAAATTTTTGACAGTGCTAGTAATTAACCACTGGCATATGGTGGATTCTCCGTAAATGCAATTTTAGAATCAAGCTGGGATGTTTTTCTAAAATATATGCTCTAGGACTTATTTTGGGGAAGTGCTATGGCTTGTGTTATGCAGGATTTCAAACTGGATGGTTACAATCGTCCCTTCTGGCCTTGGAATCTCTGAAAACAGAGAAGGAAAGACACTTATTTGTTGCAGACTTACTGGTCATGTTAGGATGAGATGTACCTGCTGTTTACCATTTATTGTGTAACAGAAGCTGTTACAAGCAAAGGTCTGAAAGCACTTTGGCCTGAAGATGTTATAAGTACAGGCAGTCCTTGGCCTTACAACACCCTTGGTTCTTGAAAATTACGTTGTAACTCGAAACTGCAATACATGCCATGTCACTTCAGAATTGACACCCAGATTCAACTTGACAATTGGTTTTGATTTTCTGATGCTCAGTCTCGCAATGGCATATGTTGCAGTTTGGAGTTACAACGTTTCGACTGACAAGGCAGTTTTCAGCAACCCCTTGTGTTGTAAGGCCGAAGACTGCCTGTACTTAAATCGAAGGTTGTAAAGTCGAGGACTGTCTGCATAGAGCATGGGTACTAGTATTATAAAATTGGAATGAAAATCTACTACCCCTCGCCTACAATCTCTTTAGCAGCACAAAAACCCAAGATCTTTTATTCGTATAAACACACCCCAGCTGTCCACAACACCCCCACCCATTTTTCCTGAGCAGGGGCTTGAGCAGAATTGTGCGGGGTTAAGTTAACACAGGCCTGTACCCGAGATAAACGCTTTCCCGGGAGGCTTCATGCTAATGCAGAGACCCATGGGTGTTAATCTGGGTCTAGGACGGAGCTGCTGCCTGCGAGCTGGAGCCTGCTCGTGTACGTCCCCGCTTTCACCCCAGGGCCAGGTGAATGTATCGGGCGCCGGCGCTCGGAGGCTCGAGTGACCCGAGCGGAGTCCCTCGGGCCTTGCGCTGCGGGCCTTGTCCCGCCTGTTTTTTGGGCTGCTTGCGGGGGGGTCCTGGCCCAAAGCGGGGCCAGCCAGCGGGCTCGCCGGTGCAGCGCGCCCGGGGGGGACTCCTGTGCCACAGAGGGGCTCGGAGAAAGCAGCAGCCCGGGCTCCCCGGCGCCCGGCTTCCGCGCTGGGTTCCGCCTTCGTGCGACGCGCGCAGAGGCGGGGTGGCTCCCCCTCGCTGGGCCTGGGGCGGGCCGGGGCTCCCCGTACCCGAGCGGGGCGGGGGGCGTTGCAGGCGCTGCCCGGTGTGACGGGCGGCGAGTCCCGCGGGTCTGAGGCGGGAGCGGGCGGCGGGCCCGTGGGGGTGACTCGCTCCCCAGCTCAAAGACGCCCCTGGCGGCTGGGAGAGGCCCGCAGATGTCGCGCCGAGCCCGTAGCGGGGCCCGGGGAGCAGAGCCCTGGGGTCCGTGGCCGGGGAGCGACCCGCCCCGGCCGCGCTCTGTCGCCTCCCGCAGCCGGGGGAAAGGTGCCGCTCGCACGCTCGTCGGGGCAGGCCGAGCGCGGCTTCCCCTCAGCCGCTACCCCGAGCGCCTGCTCACGGAGGCTCCGAGGCCGGCCGCTGGGGGCTGAAGGCAAGGCCCACGGTGGGTAGCCGCGGGAAGCTCCGGTCGGTCTGTGCCGCGGCGGGGAAAGTTTCCCGAAGTAAAATTAAAATTATTTAAAAAAAAAAAAAAAAAACTGCGACTCCGCCGGGACTCGAACCCGGAACCTTTGAATCCCTTCCTCCTCTAGAAGTCCAATGCGCTATCCATTGCGCCACGGAGCCACCTGTTGGACTCTTCGCACATCAGCCATACAACCTATAGACAAAGCGCGCCACCCTGCTGTATTGAAGGCAATGGGTCGACAGCGAGAGATGTGGTCCTCCCTTCTTTACTTAACCCAATTAGGTTAGGTCCTGAAAAGAATCATGTCCCCAAACAACCCCACTCACTCCTCCAGGCCTTTCTTAAACTGCTGCTTCTCAAATTTAGTTAAAAAACTTTTAAAAAGGAGAGTTATGTTAGAAAAGAATTTTAAAGTATATTTTATTGCTGATTAATTATATTTGAATCAATACTAATGAATATAATATTAAATCTCTATATTTTATTTCAAATAATTAGGTTTATGCTTATTTATTTATTACACAAAATAAATCAATGGTAATAGCACAGCACATATTCAAAGTTCTGTACAGACATTAACAAATCATGGTAATAATGTTATGTCTATCATTAACCATTTACTTTGTTTAATATTTTTGTGCATTTAAACATGATTGTGTTTATTATTCACTACAAATAACTATTAATCATTTATGATCTTTAGTATTGAGAAATTATTTTTAGAGCATACTGTGGAACTGATCTTACAAGTATGTACATAAGTAAAGTATGCATATGCGTTTGTTGGATTGGGTCCTGTTATCCAAGTACTATAGCAATGAGCACTAAATAAAGGTCCATAAATAAAATCAGTCTTAGATGTATGAAGCATGTTTTATATCACTGTGTTTGTTGATAGGAGTATTAATAATGCTTTCTCTTGACAGTGCTTTCGCTTTGTCATAAACATGAAGGAACATAAACTTGAAGGCTCTACTTCTGGAGCCATAGCAGCAATGGTAAAACAAAAAAATTTGTTGGGTCTGCTTGAAACCTTTGCTGCCACCGGACTCCTCGTTGTTCCTGAAACCTTTGAGCTCTCTGAAGTTATGTGGAAGACACAGAAACACTTTTGCACCTGGCATCAAACCTGAGAAAAACAAATGTGAAATAAATTAGACATACTTCCTCCACATGCTTCTGAAGTGCAACCACCTCTGGGGTGCAGCTGGGCAGCTGTGACTATGTAATGCACAGCA